TCAACCCCATCTTCCCTCCTGCCTCAGGGCGCCTCGTCCAGCCTGGTGGTGAAGTTTGCGGACACGGATAAGGAGAGGACCCTGCGTCGGATGCATCAGATGGCGGGGCAGCTGGGCATCTTCAACCCCATGACCATCCAGTTTGGCGCCTACGGGGCCTACACACAAGCGGTAGGAGCTGCTGCACACTGGGGAGTTTTTGGGAGGCCCCAGAGCTGCAGGGGGGCTGGTTTGGCCCGTGAAAGTACCAGTGCCAGTGGGTGTGGATGCCTGTCAGGGCCGGTGTATCCCCATTTAGGGGTACACAGAGGGCTTCACCCTCTGGGTGAGGGTGGCTGTAGGGCACAGTAGTCCCATATTTAGCATCGCCTGGGCCTCTTCCTGTCCCCAGGTCTGGCAGCAGGTGGCATTTATTCCTTGGAGCCCCCATGTGCAGGTGCAAAGCAGGAATGCTAATTTACCCTGTCTTCTCCCTTCTCTCTGCCTCCTGCACTCTTTCCCCTTTTCCCCCCTTTCTTTCCCTAAGATCATGCAGCAGCAGGCAGCCCTGATGGCAGCTGCCCAGGGCACTTGCCTCAACCCCATGGCCGCCATCGCCGCCGCCCAGATGCAACAAATGGCCGCCTTCAACGTCAGCGGGCTGGTGGCCGCCCCCCTCACCCCCTCTTCAGGTATGACCCCCCTCCATGTGCCACTCGGCACTCTTGGGGGGGCTGCCAGCGCTGACACCCCCTCCCACAGGTACGAGCACCCCCCCGGGGATCAGCACGGCACCGGTGCCCAGCATTGCCGCGCCCATCGGCGTGAACGGCTTCAGCCCCCTGCCACCCCAGACCAACGGGCAACCTGCCTCCGACACCATCTACACCAACGGCATCCACCCCTACCCAGGTACCCTCCTCCACTGCCCGGGGGCTCTGCCACGGCTCCCAGGGCTGGGGACATCCCTCGGGGCTTGGGAACATCCCCCGGGGCTGTGGGTGCTCGCTGGGCCTGGGGACATCCCTCGGGGCTGGGAACATCCCCCGGGGCTGTGGGCGCTCCCTGGGCCTGGGGACATCCCCCGGGGCTGTGGGTGCTCCCTGGGCCTGGGGACATCCCCCGGGGCTGTGGACGCTCCCTGAGCCTGGGGACATCCCCCGGGGCTGTGGACGCTCCCTGAGCCTGGGGACATCCCCTTGGACTGGGGACACATGCTCAGCTCATGCTGGACGCTCCAGGGGTGCTTCCCACTTTGGGAATACGCTGGATAGACCAGTCGTGTGCCGATCCCTACTGAATTCCCTCCTCCCATGGTGTTGTGAGTGATACAGGGAAGAGGGAATTCGGGCAGGGAGCAGCTCTGCCCCTCCGTGGCGGCGCTTGGCCCAGCCCTTTCCCATGGGAGCTGTGCATCCCTGGCTTTCTCTGGCTTATTCTCTCTTCCTTTTTCTTTCTTTTCTCTTCCCAGCTCAAAGCCCCACGGTGGCAGACCCCCTCCAGCAGGCCTATGCCGGCATGCAGCACTATGCAGGTCTCAAACTCCGCTTCCCTCTCCTTCCCTCTCCCCCCTCTTTGCTCCTCACCCTTAATTTTGGGAGTTGAATGTCACCATGAGGTTGAACACTGGATAGAGGCAGTGTGCATGGGCATGGAGTGACGAGGGGAGCACCAGGTGCTGTGCCCTGGCAGGAGCTCCAGGGCAGCGATGAGGGTGATGCCAATGAAAGCACCATCCCCTCATCCCACCAACATGGATGTGCTCCTGGCCCGGCCCTCTGTGCAAATTTTGGATGGAGGAAAGAGAGTTTTAATGTCCCTGGAAGTGAGAGAACTCTGTGGGGAGGCCTGGCAGTGGCACCTAGGAGAGGGGGCAAGGTTTGGGAGGTAATGGAGACACCAGAAGTCCTTGGATGTTCGTCATGTGGCCAAATCTGACAGCCAAGGGGATGGGCTGTGGGGAGAAGGGAGTCAAAGCCTCCCATGGAAGTGTGTTGAGCCCAGCAGCCATTTCTTTATGAGCACTGACAGCAACCTCCAGATTTTCAACAGAAAATCAAGTTTTGGACCCCAAATGTTTGGGGTTTTTCAATCAAAAGTGCCATCTTTCCTCAGCCTTGAGTCTGTATTACCGCTATCACAAACATCCCTCCTGGGGGAGCCATTCCTGCATCCCTGGTGTGCTGGGAAGGGTGGGAAAGGCAGAGCCAGCAGCCCTGGGGCAGGAGAGGCACCTCCATTGCAGGTGACAGTGGGGCACATCCCCATCCCAGCCCTTCCCGGGGCTGGGACAGATGCCGTGGCCTCAGCTCCGTGTTTCTCTCTTCCAGCAGCATATCCCACTGCCTATGCTCCCATCAGCCAAGCCTTTCCCCAGCAGGCACCGCTCATCCCGCAGCAGCAGCGAGAAGGTGAGGGGTGGGGGTCACCCCTCCGTGGGGCCGGGGGCTCCTCGGTGTCCCCCCAGGGTGATCCCACCTCATGGCTCACGTGTGCTGTCCTTTGTGTGTCACCCAGGTCCCGAGGGCTGTAACCTGTTTATTTATCACCTGCCCCAGGAGTTCGGGGACGCGGAGCTCACGCAGATGTTCTTGCCTTTCGGCAACGTCATCTCTGCCAAAGTCTTTGTGGACCGTGCCACCAACCAGAGTAAATGCTTTGGTAAGTCCCAGGGTGTGGCTCTCTCTGGTGTCCCAGCTCGGGGCTCCAGCTGTCCTCAGCATCCCAGCTCAGAGGTCCAACTCTCCTCAGCATCCCAGCCTGGAGTTCTGGCTCTTCCTCAACATCCCAACTCAAGGGTCCAGCTCTCCTCAGCATCCCAGCCCAGGGGTTCAGGTTTCCTCAGCTTCCCAGCTTAGAGATCCAGCTCTCCTCAATATCCCAGCTCTCTCCAGTCTCCAGCCTGGGGGTCCCATTCTCCCTCCTTGGCTCTTCCCAGTGTTCCCAGCTCAGGGGTCTGGCTCCACCCAGTATCCCCATGTTGGGGGTCTGGCTGTCTCCAGTGTCCCCAGCTCAGGGGTCTGAGCATCTCCATCTTGGGGGTCTGTCTCTCCCCAGTGTCTCTGCTTGGGAGTCCATCTCTCTCCAGCATCTCATTTTGGAGTCTGTCTCTTCCCTGGTCTCCAGCTCAGATGTCCATGTCTCCCTGATATCCCTAGCTCAGGGATTCATCTCTCTCTCTCACAGACCTTGGTGTCCCCACAGACCCTGTCACCTTGGTGTCCCCAGAGACTCTGTCACCTCAGTGGTGTCTTTGGAGGCCCCATCGCCTCAGTGTCCCAACAGACCCCGTCAGTCTTGTGTCCCCACAGACCTGCAGGCCTTGGTTTCCCCACAGATCCTGCAGCCCCCCAATGTCCCTGCAGCCCCCATCACCTTGGTGTTCCCACAGACCCTCAGACCTTGGTGTCCCCACAGATCCTGTCACCTCAGTGTCCCTGCAGCCCCCATCACCTTGGTGTCCTCACAATCCCCACCAATTTGACAGACCCTGTCACCCCAGTGACCCCACAAATCCAATCCTGTAGTGTCCCTGCAGACCACTCCAGTGTCCCTGTGGACCCTCCTATGCTGGTGTCCCCACAGACCCTGTCACCTCCATGTCCCTGCAGACCTTGGTGTCCCCGAACACGCCGTCAGCCTGTCACCCAGTCCCCTGCAATCTGGGGCTGTGCTGTCACCTCACAACTCCCTCTCCCAGCACTCCCAACACAGGAGCATCCTGTGGGATTTCAGTGCCTGTGCTGGGGTGAAGCAGCTGCCTGTGATGTCTGTGGTGACAAACCCCGCTGTCCCCTCCGCAGGTTTCGTCAGTTTTGACAATCCGACGAGCGCCCAGGCGGCCATTCAGGCCATGAATGGCTTCCAGATTGGCATGAAGAGGCTAAAAGTCCAGCTAAAGCGGCCGAAAGATGCCAACAGACCCTACTGACCCCAGCAGAGAGGTGAGGGGGGGCCGGCCCGCGGTGCCCGGGGGGGTCGTGGCAGTCGGGATGGGCCCCCCCAGGGCATCACTCTGTTATGTCCCTGAGTGTGTGCAGGGATCTCTGTGCCTGGGACCCTCTGTGTGCGTGTTCCCAATGGATTTGGGTCCTTCCCTGCCTCCTTCCCTCCCTCCAACCCCCAGGAACCAGGCTAACAGCCCCTTCCCTCTTTTTCAGGTCGGGCGTCCCGCGGTGTCTGACGACTTTCCCCTTCCCCAAGTGCAGTATCCAAACCCGTAACTCTCTTTCTTTGCTACACATCCCGGAGGAGGAAGAGGAGGAGGAGGAGGAGAGGAGGAGAAAATGGTGAAGAAGAGAGTGTTTTGGTCGTAGCTTTTCCTTTTTGAATTTTTTCCCAAACTGGTCTTGTTTGTTATTTAACGGGAACGAGAGGAAGAAGACGAGGAAGGAGGGGAGCGATGCGACGCCGGGGCTGCGATTCGCCGCCGGCCGCTCGCCGGGACTCACCAATCCCTCACCGGGAAAGGGCCGGCGGCCCCCGGGCAGCGGGGCCACGATCTACCTTTGGTTTTGGGGTTGTTTTTTTTTTTTAAAGCACTCATTTGCTGCTACCGATTTCCCAGGAGAAACGAGGAAAAAGAGGCTCCAAATGGATTCTTAAACCAAAGCCGGTGGGACGGGACCAGCCTCGGGCGCTTCACCTGGAGGATGCTTGTTTGGAAAAATAAAGAAACGGCAAGATTTTCCTTTTTCCCTGCGAATGGGGAAAAAAAAAAGAAGGATCAAAGTATGTTGGACTTATAGAAGATATATATAAATAAGTATATATATATATATATCCCATGGAGCAGGGCGGCGGGACACGCGCTTCCCCTGCTTGTCACTGGCACAGGGACATAGGATTACTTGTTTCAGAGTCATATCATTCCTTAGAGTTTAGGGACCAAAGGACTATTGCTTTTTTTAAATATATCTATAAATAAATTAATTTAAAAAAAAAACCAACAAAACACACAAAAAAACGTTGGGAAAGGAGGAGAAAAATCCAACAAAAATTGAGAAGGTTGAGTAAAACCCTCAGGCGTTCGGAGCCGTGAGCGTTTCCTACAGGGCTTGGATTTGTGGGGCTCAAGGGCTCGGTTTTGGGGGCCAGTTCGTGGCTGGGGATGGGGGGA